ATGAATCCTAACAAAAAGGCTGGGATGCCATTTCTAAATTGTTACCGTTTTCGACTCCAAAAAAGGCAACATATCTCCAGAGGCAAACTTATCAGTATATTCCCCCTCCGATTGGGCGCTGATGTCCAAGGATCCTCTCCACCTTAAGAACAACTGTGGACATTTTGACTGGTCTTTGAGGGTGTATGAACTAATCAATGTGAGAAGAGGAAGTAGTTGGCGGCCCCTCCCGGCTTTGATACATGTCCCCCCCCCTTTCCACATCCTCCGCAATCTCAAGTAAATCTTCGTTGTTGGATAATTCTCCAGTAATTTTCGAGGTGGTAAATTCATTAACACTTCAATTTAAGTTAACATGCCTCTTCCTTCCCATCACCCTATAAAAAGGCATTCAAGTGCATCAGCATTCAAACCAAAATGGACCTCAACACACCTTTGCTATAATAGCAATGTGCAGATTCAAAAATCTAAGAAATTGTGATAAATTGGACACAAATTCGATTCTCAAGGTTTCCATTAAATGAAACGATGTTGCAAGTGCTCTTTAATCAGATGAAGCATAAGGATGTCCTGCGCTTTCGTCCATTTCTGAAGCACAAATTACACTTAGCTACACGAGTTTTGGAATTAAACCTCTGCTCTTTTCCCAGAATGCTGAGGCTCTAACAGAATCAACCATGGCCTCCACAATTTGATAAGTGAGGCTTTTACACAGTTTCGACAGAACCTCTTTTCTTTTTCCTGTTCCGATATTCAAAAATGCACTTACCTGCTTCTGGGCTTGTATCCACACGCCTCCTCTTCCTTCTGGAATTGTCTAAGAAAGTTGGATAACACAAAAGTTGGGCGTAAGTTCTTGAACCCAAACCACACTGCATGGAGCTACGGTACTCGTTGAATCATTAATTTAAGGGTGGCTGTTTGCATGATTTGCCAAACCCTCCATTAGTGAAGTTGGAGATATGTAGCAACCGCTTGTTGGAAATCCCACAGCCAAGGTTTGTCTAAGTCATTCGTCCCAACTTGGTATTTCCTTTGGATATTGGTAATTTATTAATATCTATGCTAGAACCAATAGATACGCTAGCGGCGCATGCCCGAGGCAAAGCGCGTCCGAGGTCATTTGGGATCGGTATTACACGCTCGTGAGGTCTCCCTTATACCAGCCTGGCCATACGCCGACTCACACGCGTGCTCTCCTGATGATATTTATACCGAAGTACCAACTGATCTTCAAACATCGTTAGGTGGCAGATGTCGACATTTTATAACAGAATTATTTTCTATCGTGCTACTCGAATCAAAGAAAGTTTTAGAAATGCAGGCCAACTCAGAGGACATAAAATCCTGATACTTGGACTAAGTTGCATGTTCAGGGGCCCCAGAGGGCGCGGCTTACTTTCAGGTAACTGTCTCCTGTCATTCTCAGTATTTACGTAATAATCATGGAGCTAATGGCTTTGTAGCTCCATGGTAATAATGTAATAACTGTTTATGCACTTGTAGCGGTAACAGCCCCCGGCCGATCGCTCGGGGGTGGCGGTCCGTCCGCCACCAAAGGGGAGAATCGGAGGTCAGGCAAAATAGAAAGCTCAACAGGCAAAAGATTTGGGTACTTCCAACGGGCTGGATTCCTTTTATTTCACCGTCACTAAATAATGAAACTGCTTGGACAATTATATGTGTAAAATGCTACAATCTGTGTGATCCCAGCGGAGCCATCCCCACGCCTATCCACCCAGTTGTGTAGCACAGCACCGCACAGCACTCGCGAAAAAACCTTGGAAGCCCGCCTTGGAAGTCCTGGCAAAAATTATCACATTGTAGGTCTCTTGCGGCCGACAGGCGTGACATCTAGAAATTACATGTAGGGTGCAGTCCACTAATTCAAACGAGTATTTCTGGCCAGCTCATTAGCATTAAAAGTGCCCCCCCCACAGTATCTTTTGATAAAGGAGATTATATGGCCCCCAAAGTGGTGAGATTGTGTAAATCGTTGCCGGGATGAACTCCCTGGGTCTTTGGGCTTTCATCAGAGAGCAGAATGGCTAAAAAATACTGTTGAAAAATAGTCCTAAGTGCCCGAGAAAGTTGAGGGTTGTCACTTGAAATATGGCTGCAAGCAGACTTTGGAAAAAAATCACTTTTGTGGGGGTAATTTTGTTTTGAGGGAATAACTCAAAACGTAATCGGTTAACCCACAGAAAATTGAAAAGAAAGTAAAAGATTATGGACCATACAATAATTTAACGTGTGTTTCAGATGCCTCAGGGATGTTGGTACGCATATTATTGGGCCCCAAACAATGCTGATTTTACACTGCTTTCAATGGGGCCTGAATTAGTGGACTACACCCTGTACATTCTAAGTGTGCACGTGGACCCAATGACACCTTGAAGACGTGCACAAGGCTCGAAGGTCACATAATTCGCTGATTTAACTGGGGAATTCCCATATCCCTACGCACTCATGGAGAATGTGTGATTAGATCAACCACATTCTGAAACTATAACATTGTTGAAAGTCGAAAAATACAATATAGGGCCTACCAGAGATAGAACATTTTTCCTAGTCAACTGTTCTTACAACAGAGACACACAGTGTTCATGTAATTTGAGCTTTCATCGTAACTGAAAAACGACCTTGAGTACGCCCATCGGCTATACCATGTAAGACTTGAGATTTAAAATGCAGGATTTAGTTATACTTATTGAAGTGAATTTTGATATATAAATCTAGTGCCAGCCCGTAAGAAAAATGTCGAAAGACTTCTCAAAGCAACTTGATTACAAGGGGCGACCAGGCTACAACAGCCCTACAATATTACATTAAATCTGAGCGCAATGTCAGATGGAGGAAAAGAAGCTGTCACAAGTTGGCAATGAAATGTTCTCGGCTCAGTGGATCACAACAAGAATTTGATTTGTTTATCCTATTATCCTGCACGGGGCATTTTATAAGACAGAGGAAGCAGAGGGCGTCTCTAGCTGTATGCATACCAAATCAGGTGGAACTAATATACCGTCCGTTGCCAAGGTTTTGAAAATTCAATTTATAAATTTTTGTTCATTCGACAGCCTGGACACATGGCTTCCGTATAAACAACTTATTCTGTAATTTCCAAAAACGATTGATTGTAGAATTCATTGAATTTGAATAAGCTGATCTGCCTCCCAAGCTATTTCTGCTTCCTTCAAATTCTCTGAGTGTAGAATTATATTGTCGTTCCAAATACGCTCCCTGGAAATTAGAGGGCGCTACAATTGAAAGCTCGTGTTGCAAATTGACGTTTTCTGGACTGTGTATTATAAACTTTAATAGGCTTTTAATAGATGATTTTTATTCATTATGCTATAGTACAGAAACATTCAAAGGACCTTTGACCTGAATACTTGCCAGCTAGCTCATGGACAGATCACCGTGAAAATATGTCTAGCACCGGGTGGGCGGATGATCGACGTCGTTGGATTTTCGAATTGCAACGAGTGCGTCGTATCTCCCAACAGCATCTAACGAAGACCTAAGGTGAAGGACCGAACTGTGACCGTTCTACCCAGACTTTTTGATAAGACAAAGAAGTGGCGTAACTATGATGGGAAGTGACATCGGGCACGTGCACCTTCCTCCATCGTTCCCCGAGTCCCCCTCCCCTTAGAAATTTGAATCCATGGAAGGGTCACTGTAATCTTACTTTCAGTTTCCTCTTGAGGGAAACGGGATTACCAACCAAAATGTTCATGTGTTGTACATTGCTTGTGACTGGTGTTCAGCTGATGTTCACTTATCATTAAAATGACATGGACTTTTGGCTGATAACATGTTTTTATCAACGGAAAAAGAAAGAACAAAACTTGTAGTGCGACACAGCGATGCCTTGAAAATATTATTGTGAGCACAACCGTTATATCCCACACTATGTTTGTGTGCTTGGCTTTTAACTCTAAAGGGCAAGCAAATCAGGTAAGATAATATTTTTTCCTTCCAAAACATACATGCATTTCTCACTCTATTCTAGGATTTAGGCATCATAACGAAAAGACAGATAAAGAGCAAGCTTGCTCCAAAAACCGTTCATATTAACATGTATATTCCTTTTAAACTGGGTTTTATATCAACTACCAACATTTTTTTACACGTGGAATATAGCTACATGCTGTGCTGCACACATAAGGAATGGCTTTTTTTGTTCCAAAGTCGAAGTTGGCGCAACCGTTCTCTACAATATTGCATACTAGTTGAAGGCCAGTAAGTAGGCCCAATAATTGCTCGTGCGGACCGACCATTTCGTGGCACGTGGACTCAGTGGGTGGTTTGTTGAGAACTTAAGGAGGATGAATCTACCAGAAGGACTGTGAGCTTGCATTTCTGAAAGTATCGGACCAAACGGGGCCCTCCAAATCGCTCTATTTACAATGAAGTGTGGGCATCCATTTTCAAAAAATTGGTGATGGGCCCTCAAGGCTGTTTTGAGGGGTCATTCATTTATTTATTCTTGATTACCCCGAGTTAAGTCCGTCATTTATAATAAAACAGAATTATAACAGTTAAAATTTCAGGCTGGGTATGAAAAAACACATTAAAAACTGGGATAAAACACTCAACAAAAAAGTATACGTAAAATGTACAAAGACACACGTACACAAAAGCATTTAAACAACACCCATGTCAGTACGTACCGATAAAACAAGGCAAGAACTAATTATAAAATGTTTTGAGAAAAAATATATCTATGAATAGATCTGCTCTCATATGAAAGCTCAAAGACCCAGGAAGTTGATCCCGGCAACGATTTACACAATCTCGTCATTGGGGGGGGGGCAAACAATCTCCTTTTTCAAAAGACACTGTGGGGACACTTTTAATGCTAATGAGCTGGCCAGAAATTCTCACTTGAATTTGTGGTCTGCACCCCTATGGCAGCTTCTCTCTGCAGTCATGTGAATACTGATCTGACCACTGTGGCTCTAGCTCTGACTGTATCATTGGACGGGCGCCCTCAAGCGTTACCTTTAGTAATACCGGCGCCATCTTCCATATTTTTTTGCAGCGCAGGTAGATTTCTGTAGTTACAGTATATTAAACCTGCATATTTGATGATTTCTGGTCAGACGTCGGAAGATCTCATCAGTAGGAAGATATTTTTTAATGTAAGTATCACTGCCGTGGGTTATAAAACATTGCAGGGGAACTGGTGGCGATGAATGTCAACGTGAAGCTTGAGACGAGTTGAGTCCCTCCATATCCTAATCGAGCCCTACCCCCATGTGGGGTCCGACGTCCGCCCCGCTCCCACGAACCCTCTAGGCCATAGGCTCTACTGGTAATGGTATAGGGCTGTGGTGGCGATAGAGAAGAGACAGATTGTGAAAGAGAGCCACTACCAGGTCAGAGACCAAACCACAAACTAGCGACGACGCCAGACTATGCGTATGCCGCTCGTTTGTGCAACGATGACGTAATTATTGAACTATTTTTAGATCACGGTTCGCAGATAACATCGATCTCTTTATCAGCCAAAAGCTTCAAAACAAAATCCTCTGATCGATCAACTTTAAAGGAAACATGCTACCCAAGATCGTAAATGAAATTTTCCTTTCATTTGGTATCTATAAAAGCGGATCGAGGAGATTTTTCGGTCAAATCTTGCACTGGAAGTTTCGAATTCGGTAGGCAGGCGAGTCCAACTCTGCCTATGAAAACGTTTACGTGACAAAAATGAAATTTTGTCGAAGTTTACTTTATGCATGAAAATGTTGCCATTATAAATCTCCATCGATTCATCGTTGCCGATTTTATGTTTACCGTGGCGATTTTCCAAAATAGTGATCGAAAACAATTTTGCCATAGACTCCAACGGTAACACCAAAGGTGGCCGTTTTGGGTGCCGGCATTTCAAATCTTGTTATTTTCCCAAAATTGCGTGGGAAAAATACATCATTATCACTGGACCTGATGACAATGACATCATTGCCACTTGAACTAGCGACATAAGCAGAAATTAGGGACGTCGCTAGATTGTGGTTTGGTCCCTGACCTGACTACAGCCCTACATGTATTTGTGGGGCCTAAGGCTCTACATGATGTTTTAACAGGGCACGAACAGGGATTTTGTGTAGGCCCCACCCAGAGAAATGCTCCATTTCCCCCAAGTCTTAAGAGTTCTATTTATGGTAGCTTACATATATTTGTATTTTGCACCAAGAAAGAAATGGGCCCAAACCATGCCGTTTTCCAGAAAAATGTGCAAATATTTCCTGATCAGTGTCGGACTCCCATAAGCCTTATTGTAAATACTACACGGGTGATTTTGCACAATGGTAGAAAGGCATTGTGGGAAGGAGAAAGGGGCAATGTTTGCTCCTTTTTTGCAGTATTTGTGATAAGGCTTATGCCGTTCACAAGTGTAGGCCTACATGCAAAGACGGGCCCCGACCAAATACGGTTGACTACAGGGAATTTTGGAGAACTGTAGTCACTTTACTATAGGTCAGGGTCCAACCTAAATGCTGGTCCACTAGCCAAATTCAAGTAAAAACCATGGCGGTCTAGCGAAAGCCCTCGTCTGGGTAGTCCGGCGGTCTAGTAAATCAATATTCTGAAACAAGCGGCGAAATAGTTGATTGTGATGCATGCCCTCTAGCTGCTGCTGGTTTTTGAACCAAATAAAATAGAACCTTTTGCAACCGAGAATAGTTCGGTCCCTGACACCAGCCCAGCAGAAGTAATACTGAAGTCTAGGAATGCGGCGGCAGTAAATCGTCTGAAACTTCTGTTGCGCAACACCATGCGGCGGGATCGCACTTAACTGTGTGCCGTTTACTGTACTACCGCGTGTGGCCGGTACGTCTCGACAATGATATGACTTAACGTTGATTCTGCGTACAAGATGTAAATAAGCACGTGCTTTCATGCGTTGCATCATAGTGGTACGTGTAAGTCATGAATATACATCCCACGCGGTTGACGTGCCGCGTGTGTATGATGTGTGTGTACGCATTACGTTACTGTGAATATGCAATACTGATTTTTCTGATTGGTCATTGATAGTTGTGACTTCAGCGATGTCACGGTTGTGATTTCATGTTTGGTTCACGCACTACGGGTTGCACGACACCAAATACGCGCCCACAGAAAACATTGAAAAATCAGACCGAAATAGCGTCACCTGTTGACTCTTGGGAAGAGGTCGGCCTCTGTTTTTTCATTGGAAATTCAACTTTGTGGCCAGAAGATCACTTATTATTTCAATTTTATGGGGGTCAGCCACGAAATTTATTTTTATTCGCCTTTCCCCGAAGATACCTCCAAAATAGTAGTAAAACTATGCGTTCAGCTCTGAATACCCCAAACTGGAAATTATCAGTCCCGAATTCAGGATTTATAGAAAAATATTTCTATGATCACCCCATAGGATCACTAAATATTAATGAGCTCACAAGCAGAAATACAACCATTTGGTGGAATGCGCCCTACGGGTACTGGACACAGTCTAGAATGAACATGTACTGTACAGGGTATGTACATTTCGCCGGGTGTACATGTACATACATGTATGTGTGTGTACCGGTACATGTGCATACTGCATAAAATGTGCATGTACATGTCCATAAACTGTTCATAATGATATGGGTTTTTTTTCTGTCTCTTGGATTGTGAATAAAACAAACCATTTTCAGCAGGTAACCACTTTGTGTGTTTAATTTGGTTGAGTAGAGTTATACTCATGAATATTCTGGAAATTCATAATTTCCATGACCATTTATGATTACTCATCGAGTACACATGATGTTGGAGCAGAAAACACTAATGCCAAAAAGAATATTGAAATTTGGGGGAAGATGCGGACTAGTGAAAATGCTGGCGGACTAGTAAAAAGCCATCACTACTGTTGGTCCGGCTGGCAAGTGAGAAAAAAAGTTAAGGACAAACCCTGTATGTAATGTCATGGAGCGTTAGTATGACCGATCCCGTTCAAAATAAAAAAAAAAGAATGCTAACGCTCCACTCAGTAGAGCTAATAGTGTATATACAACAGCTAGACCGTGCAGGCACACAACCACATAGTGATTTTATCAAACCTGCTTGGTAGAGTGTCTGTAATTGGTTACTGCAAAGTTTCATTAGAAAGCAGATCTCTGATTAGTCGAAAAAGCAGATTGAGGAGTAAGAGTATTAAATGTGATGTTGAAGAGAACTGCTAAAGCTCATATAACTTGTACCTGTATAGTCCGCTATGACTGTGCTTGTGCGTCAAGTTAACCATGCATTTACGTTGACAGATATCAGGTAAGAAAGTCACATTTTTCGCCCAATTGCCTCTTCCAACTGTCACCCAAATAGGTTCACGACATCAAAGACACATTGCCCGAGTAATACTCTTTTCCAGACGCAACCTTTATTTGTAAAAGTAACTAAAAAGGGGGGTTTCCGAAATTTACATTCCCCGCCTCCGTTCCCTGGACCCCACACTCGTGCAGTAAAAAATGGTCGGACGTTGACCAAATTCATTTTACAAATCTGTTCGTTTTTTGTCCCGTTTTAAAATAGCATTACCTTCTTAACACCAACATTTGCTGGTGCGTGATACATTTTCACTGTCCCTTACTACCGAAATAGTTGGAGGATAAGTTGGCTGCTCTGTTTATACATATTCACCTGTTAATGGAAAGAAGCTAAAAATGTACGAAGTCGTGTTCCTAGTGTACTAGTGTGCATCGGTAATCTAACTCATGGTCCATTCTTCGGGGCCTTGCGCTTGTAATAACTTTAACAAGTCACAACTGGATTTACTTGGCTGCATCTGACTCTTGATGTCACATATGGAAGCCATGTGTATGGGCCGGCGGCCGTTTTCTATATCAGTGTATGTTACTGCCGGTCGTAGTTTGATAACTCAAACTTGGCTTATGGCATGACCTGCACAAAGTAGTGGTGTTTCCTAATGGGACAAAAAAATGAACAGATTTCAACAGTGAAGTTGGTTGACGTCCTTTCTTCCTGAGTGTAAGTAAACATTACCACCATCATTGGAATCTCCAAGTCCCACTGAATCCTACACTGCATTAGACAGTTTCAGGACTGTTCTTGGGATAAAATATGAGGATTTTGTTTCAGGTTCTGAGCTAATTTGAGTGAAATAAATTAGTGGTACTCAAGGTTTATGGATGGTTCCAGGACTCTACTGTTGCCAACCATATCCAAATATTAATACGGGCAGTTCATATATGTACAAATATTCCAAGGAAACCCCACACAATCAGGTAAGGACTGAAAGTGTGATTCATACCAGTATGTCGGCCTGAGTAGTTCTGGAATTAACCTTGGGTCAAGAGAATTGGGTAAGTTGAAAATAAGCACCACAATGCCAACTTACATGCAACTCCACTAGTACAGTATAAGTTTTCTTCCTTACGTACATACATTTGTTAAATTGCTTTCTAGTGATTCTGCAACATTTGAATCTAGTCTCCACTGCAGCCATTTTGAAAGAGCAACCACCATGTCCGACGACAGCATCAAGGCAGAGGAGCCCCAGGCGACCCAGCCAGAACCCATGCCTGAACCCAAACCCGTGGCCGAGGAGGGGACTACTCAGGAGCCCGAAGCCAGCGAGGACAAGCCCGGCCCTCTGCCGACATCACTAGGGGACAAAGAGAACAAACAGGAGGGATCGTTCAAGAAGCCGCTGGACGTCAAGCCGCAGGTACAAAGAACAAATGACCCTGGCCAATGCACCTCCACAAGGGTCCAGGCAGCAAATCTCAATTAACAGTGACACAAAACACTGTCAAGGGAACGTCTCCTTGACAGTGTTTCCCCTAAATGGTTCATAATTTCTGCAAGTGTTCTAACACTCCCCCCTCCCAAATTTATACTTGTGAACAAACATCAAGGCTGTAGAGCACTTCATCTTCTTACAAAGTTGTTATTCCCTTTTGCAGTCAAAAATAAATGTAACAAAAATTACCGGACAGTTTTGATCTTAAAATGGACTTTTTTTTTGTTTTTTATTTTAAATCATTCTCTGGTCTCCGTCCAGTTATAATCTCCGCACTGATACATGTGAAGAACAGGTTGTGGAGTGCTCAAGGCTGACAAAAATGGTACACCATCGGGGCAGCACTGCTAACCTGATGGCTCCTTTACAAGCTGGAGTTAAAACTAACGCACATACGCACATTTGAAGCCACTTACTTTTGGAGCAGTGCTACATGCATTTTTTTTCCTTTAGGTGATTAAATAGTTATGGACTGTGATAATACCTACAGTGTTGCGTGTTTGGTCAGCAGTCATGGTGTTCACATGTTTTCAAGTTATTTAGATTAGCTCTTTCTGTCTGGTGTAAGATTTTGATGTCAAGGTCGACTGGCAACTTCAACTCGCTAGGTTTTATGCAACACAGGTGTCAATTTTGGTCTGTAAGACTCAAGTCTTAGTTGACAGGTTTGGTCACCATCACTAATGTCTGTGCCCAATCTTAACCTGGGCAGTGAGAGAACTTTGTCTGCATTTTTCCTTCCCCCCAGCTCTCTCCGGAAAAGACAGAAGAAGCCAAACTTGCCGCAAAATATGGCAAGCTGAAACCAGGTGGTTCCGACTTCCTACGCAAGAGATTAAACAAAGGCGTAAGTATTGTGTTCTGAGTGCTGACTTCCGGCACATTTGTCTTCGTCTTCTTCCGCTTGATTCCCATTCAGTCCTGGAGCCATGACTCTGTTAAGAGTCAACTTCATTCAGCTTCTTCCCAAACAAGGGGAAAAGCTCTAAAATCGACAGAGGAAAAACTGCTCAATGAATCGTTAAATCGAGATCATTACAAGGCCAAGTCACTTTTTTAAACTTGTGTTACATGTTTCACAGATGAAATTGATGAGAACTGCCGATTCTGTGGTTTCCTAGAAGCATTCACTCTTGAACTCAGGCAGGAGTCAGCCTCTCTTTAGAACTACCAGGCACTGCTCATAGTCAACTCTCAGGGGCTTAGAATCACAGAGAGTCGATTCCAGCTGCTGGACTTACAAGGCTGTCCACTTCACAACGAGCAAAATTATTTCAGGGTTTTTTTTTTGTCTTGTTTTCCTACACTGTACCAGGTGAAATACTTCGACTCGGGTGATTACAACATGGAGAAGCAGTCGGGTAAGATGAAGCTGAGACCGGGCAGCGGGAAACCGCCCGGCCTGGCCGGGAACCGGCTGGGTATGCCCCTGGCCGCACCATCTCCCCTGGACACAGCCACTGGAAAGACCATCCCCACCCCGGCCACCATACCGCATCGGAAACAGTCTACGGAAATCAGCAAATTGGCTGTTTAAGAAGAAGAAAAAAGAAAGGTGGGAGGAGCTGGGAGGAAAGAGGTAGAGGGGAAAAGGGGGGGCAGAAATGAAACCGACATTCCCAGGGTCTAAAAATTCTTTATTTCTGGCTTGTCAGCGACACATGTTATAAGAAACCTACATCCACTGCCTTTGTGTTACTGCAAATTTTTAAACATTTCAATTTATGAAGACACATTCGAGATATCCGTAACTCTGCCTATGCATTCTCAAAAGTGCATGCGGTTTGCATCATGAGTCCAGGCATGTGTAAAGTTTACTGTACTTAAAAGGGTCGCACTTGGTCACCTGAAATAGAAAGTTAAGGCAGGGAAATGGATTCTATTTCCACATGCGCTTTCGGAGGATCCGATGAAGCATGTTATGTGACAAGGTCTCTAGTGGAAGTCAAGCAGCGTGAAGCAAGAGAGAATTTATGAACAGACCTTAAGGAATGGTCAAGGAATTACTTGGGGATCATTGTGTGTGGGCCTCGGGTGGAATTTTCAATTCTAAGTAAAGACTCCATGTCAGATTCTGTTCGCTTCATGAACGCACTGGTCTAGTGTAACACACCTGGGCATACATGCTGTGATTTCTCATTGGATTGCGCATGGCTAAGGCTTAATTTCTGCATGACACACTGTAGTCTTTCTATCAGGCAAGAGGCAAAGTTTAAGAAATGATGGTCACTCAGGGATCTGACATGTGTCTGAGAAGCTGGAAATGAAGACTAGCCATTCATATCACTCTGATGATCACTGGATGGACACTCTGCCACCCCAAAAAATTGTTTCTATAGACAGCAGAGATAAGAGCAGGTGTCGAAAGCAAAGGCTCAGACCTTCATGCAGTACAGTGTGACATCCAAACGAGTGGTCAAAATGTGACATGGACTGGTTCTTGTATTACCCCCTTCCACATTTGAGCCAAGAGAGGGAGCTACAGTTTACAAACTTTCGCCCAGTTTCAACCTCATCCAGGGAAGTTGGGATTTCGGTTCTGCCTTCCGACTGTCTAAGGACAACTGCCTGTAAAAAGTGAACCGCCATCCCTACATTTAATGTTTGAGCTGTCCGCCAAGGCCTGTCCACTTTTCCAAGCCACCCCGCCGGCCTCCTAGAAGTGTGTTTTGCAAGTTTTCAAAGTCCAAGCAGTGATTCCCTAAGATTTAATCTGTTGCCAAAAGGCACCCATTCCAGTGGTAAGCTGGATATATTGCATGACAGAAACTTGACAAGTAGGGAAATCACCAGAAATGATCTGTGTGCTGTCACCGTCTGTTTGCGCTTCCACAAAAAAAAAAAATTGGAAAAGTTGACAGGCCTTCAGTTTATGTATATAATATTTGAATATTTTAGCATTACTGGAAGGACGTAATATAAATTGTGTAATCCATAAGTGCAGTGATTGAGCGACCTCCGTGTACATGTGTACAAAATCTTTCTGTCAGATACAGTATGCTTTGCCATTTGTTGGTTTTTTTGTGTTTCAATATTGGCTTGAATTGGGTGCGAAGAGAGTTCTCGTCAGCAGACAACCTGTGCGTAAATTTCGGTGTCCTTTGCTTGCGCTGTACACAGCTAAGACTCGTAGTTATTACAATAGCATGGTTTGAGGTCTGATATAGAGGAAATTCTCGTGATATCATACAGTCCGTGGTTTCGCCTATGCCACCATATTGGCCGTCAAGTGCATGCATGGTAACGTGTGAAAATACACCTACGAGCATGGTTTGTGCCAAAGGGTGCCATAATCGTGAAGATACTTCACAAGATCTGCAATCGGATTCCTGCCAATCAAAAACAAAGATCAAAATGGATTGCTGTAATTCAACACCAAACTGGACTCTAAACTCACACGCGTCTCTGCAGTCTTCACTTCAAAGCGGGTAGGCCTTATAGGGCTAACATTAGCACAATTCCCTAACTTGGCGCACTTTCCATTGACTTTCGTCTCACAGTACTGCCAAATCTTGGAAATACATTGTGCCCTGTGAACTCCATCCAAGTCATTAGCAGTGTCGGAAAACACGATTTCTTTCATGGGATTCGTCATTTTTTCTCAGCATTGATCCAAATTGCATGTTACTATGCAACGGCTTGACGGCCAATATGGTGGTTATTGGGAAGTCACGTAACAATGTGACATCGTTGAATAACCTCTATAGTCTATAGTATCGCCTTAATTAGTTCTTCTCACCGGGGGGGGCTTATAATGCCAATTTTGGAGGAGAATGGAGTGAACCAGTCTTTGCAGAGAGGGTTTTGGAATCTAACCAAGTCGTAAAGTCTCAAAAAAGATCCCCTGGAGAGAAGGAACTGACAGCCTGTCGGGAGTAAGGAACTGACAGCCTGTCGGGAGTTGGCAGTTGCCGCAGTTGGCACAGTCAAACCAGCCGCCTAAAGGCACAGTGGAACATGCAATGAGGCAGTAGTACTTTACAGTTTAGTGTGAAACCTCTAGTACATGTACGTGTTATACAGTCGATAGCTGTAGTCTTGGTATGAGCCCCCGAGGGGCAGAACAGTCAGGACAGGGAAAGTCATCTTGAAGCTACGTAGCACCCAAATTATGCCAAATGGACACGGACAGATTTCGCTCAGCAAGATTTGGCAAGGAGGACTCCAATACATGCTTAACGCCATACATATGAAGTTGACTCAACTACTGGGCATACTGCTACGCAGAATTCAAGATTCCTTTCATTAAAAAGTCTGACCACTGTTGAGTGTAAATAGACCGACAAAGCATTAACCAGCAAACTGCATGTAGTTGTTCTAGCACGAGCATAATTTATGTGGTAGTTTCCAACGACTGTCTATTTTCTACATTTTTAACCATTTCCTGCTGGGGCAGTTGTCAATGTTGATGATGCTGGGCCGGGATATTCATCATTTTTGTCTGTTTTCAAAATTCTTTGAAATTCCTATCTTCATTTTCTGGACACTTACAAACATGTGAAGGACTGTCTGGTGGCCCCTCTAGCCTGACAGACAAAATCTATTGACGTCTGAGTATTTCAGCCAGGCCTGCAGCCTTGTAAAAAGAGCCCAGATTGTGCAGTGTTATATAGCTTTCTTTTGTTCACAAACCTGACTCAGTGTGCTGCAGACCTCTTTTCAATAGGGGCCAGATTAGCACGCAGCGGTGCTGTGTAGCTCATCGCTGCGGTGGTGGAGCCCATTTGTCCCCGGTGGTAATCCGCTCGCTCTAAATGCCCCAAACCATGGTATACTGTTTCAAAACAAGGCTGGATTACCTCCACTTTTGAGAGTGAAAAAATGTTGGTAATTCCCAGCAGCCTGTTCTTTTGTACCGAGTACGGTCTTTTGTTACAAGGCCCTGTTCCCTTTGTCCGAGACCCCGGCCACGCATATAAAGCATACGTGTCCGGATCCGGAATCCCCGGCAGGGAGTGGTTAAAGGCAAACATCTGGACAGTGGACACCCATGTCCTTTATACTCTATTTGCTCTTTGCACACTGCCACCATAGGCATGCAGAGCCTGGAACTGGCAGCTTGTACAGTCGTGTCAGAATCGCTTTGTCCAATCACATGGCATCAGAACTAACACAGCACACACAAGAACCCCTGAACTGGCTATGTTTATTGTGTAAAGCTGCCAGCTCAAGGCTCTACATGCCTATGGCGGCAGCGTGCACAGAGCAAATAAACACAACAAATGCATTTGTATTTTTTTGTTTTCTGGGTAATTAAATGTAAATGTGTATGTATTGGGGATAGCAAGCTTCTTAGCATAAGACATTGGCCTGTAATTAGCTATTAACCTGGTCATCAAGAGAAGACAGGTGGGTATAATGGATCCAAAGCTACACCTGTACCCCAGGAGCTAACCCAAAAAACTCTTAATCCTGTATGTCCTTTTAAGTTCAACAGACAACAGGATATCTGTTCCATTTTCCAAGATGGGCAGTCTGGCACAACCCAGTGGGTTAGATTGCATCAACAGACTGAGTAGACAAACTGAGAAGTTTAGAAATGTGACCAAGTAATGTCACATTTCTCAAGTGGATCAGTCCAAAAGCTAGTCAGTGGGTGACTGGAGAGTATGAGATTTCAATCTTTTGGCTTCAACTGCATCCAGTTGTGACAATCAACTACAAATATATACAAAATAAGTATAATGTTACCAAAATTCTGTATGTGTATAAGTTGTAAGTAACATTTGCTTGTATTTGTCTTGTCTGTGGCATTTTGGTTAATTGGTGAATACGTCTGTTTCAGTGGTAATTCCCTCAGAATCTAAGTGCTCACAGGTCTGTTATTTTTTTGTGAGCTAGATTCCTGCAGCATGCCTGGCACTACCTCATTCTGCTGAGGGTGCTGATGAAAAACCTGCTGTAACATCTTGAATAAACACGATAAAATCCGAAAGGACAGAATTATACAACCTTGTGGCTCGTCAATTCACTGATGTCTGTCACCCTTGAGTTACTAGAAATACATGTAAGTGCATGTGCTAGAAATAGTTGATGAAAACATAGAAGTGAGTAACTCTTCATTGTTGAGACATTGTCCTCAGATTGAAGGAATTGTGAAAGGTTTTGGTGTACCCAGACATGCCACAACTTCACCTCAGTGAGACTTTGAGAAAACTGTCATGGTTGAATTTGTCAGTCGTATCACAAAGCGATTGGATAGTTTGACACACCGGCCAGCAGCATACGACATGTAGACTATGCATTTTAGGGATCTGGGAAATATATGATACATCACTTTGTGAATTTTGTGGCGAAGTTGGCATAATAGATATGTATATGCAATATACATGTACATAAAACAAACGGACCAAAATAAGAAATGTGTTTATACTGTAACTTTGTGATGGCCATTTTAAAATGGCTTCTCGGTCACAAACATTGCCTTAGAAGAAGAGTGTCCAATAATATCTCAGGTTTACTTTTGATGGAAACAATCTGATGTTTTATAATTTTCATGTAATTATTTAGCAGAGTGGAGGTCATTGCATTTTGACACTGTGTTCGACTGCACAGCAGGAGGTTTCCTTAGAATGAGAGGGGCAAGGGTGATCCATGGAAGAATGATGCAAAATGAGCCATTTGCCTGTTAAATTTGAATAAAATCTGGAACACTGAGTTCTTTAAATTCACATGAACGTAACTTGAATTCTTCATACTAAAAACCACTGTTGCTACATGTATACCTCGTGATTTGGGGCAAGCTGTTGCTTAGTTACAGAAGAGACACCTTGCAACAATACACTGTTCTCAATGGATAAGAACGGCACAAAGGAACCAGCTCATTCCAGAGATGGTGGTTGCTATGCAAAAGCTTGCCCCGAATCACGAGGTATAGCAACAGTGTCTTTAGTCTGTGGAATTCAAATTGTTATGTTTCTGTGCAATCAGATAACACAGTGTACCAGATTTTATTCAAATTTAACTCGCAAGTAGCTTATTTGATATCCAAAATTTAGGGTTTTATCTTTGACTTCCTTGTGACACTGCTTTCTGTGAAAGTTTCCTTGGTTCTTTTCAGCTGTCTTCTGCCCACACAGGTTGCCCTTTTTACCAGGTTTGAATCCCAGACTTCCTCTGCAAGAAGACAGACCTGCATGATAATGATGCATCTCTCACTTTCACAGGCTGAGCTCTTCCCCTCGTTATGACTTGCAGTTATGTACATCTTATAAATTCAATTTTCTGGGTGTGCTGGTGGCGGCCACGTGAATTCCCTCGGAGGGTCTTTGCTGTTGCCAACTCGTTGCACTCTGCCACGATCCTGCCTTATTAATTTGCACCCTGCACGGACCCCGCAGACCGCGTTTCGCAACTTGTGAATTTTTCACAGTCTCCACACGGGAATCCACCCCTATAGAGTATCCCTTCTGGATGGTTTCTCGATTGGTTGTTTTTCCCCCGTAGTTTTATCAAGTTTATAGCAGAGCAGGCTAGTCCAATCCCCCCAACCTTCCCCACGGAGGTAGCAGTTTGATTAGGTCTGGGATTACGCTGCCCCTCCAGCTGTATTGAGTGGCTAGCTCTTCATATCAACACCATGGGTTTCCAGTGGTCCCCACTGTTGACACCTGGAAAGTAGAGTATTAATGAGGATGAATAGCGAGGTTGAGTCGGCAGCTAGGAAGCAGTGAATTTTACAGCACTGTGCAAAAAGGAAAAACCAGTTGCAGGTACACTGTGTAACAAGCCAACACTAAAAGAACTCAACACATAAGCAGAGTGGCACAAAAGAGAACGGCAGCTGCGTTACTTCTGTGCTGGGGGCTATTCCTCAGAGACAAATCCATGTTTGTCAAGGCCATGCATGATCAGGCAATGAAAGACCAGTCCCCAGTAACAGGGTGAGCAGTGCAAAGGAATGCTTTTGTTGGAGTTAATTAGAATAGCTTGTGACTTGAATTCAGGGTTGAGGTCTTGTGTTGGTCTTGTGACAGTCTTGTGGGGACTCGTGATGGTCTTGACCACAACACTGAGACAAATTCCTCAGTGGAAAAAAATTCCCGTCTGCAAAGCGTCCAAAACCTCATCGAGATAGCAGCAGATTATGTCTCAAAGATGATGCTGACACTGAAATGTTAACTCCTAAGGTTCTCTGTGGTATGACATTCTTTTTTCCCCTTTTCTGTTAAGAGTTTGTGATGTTCCGGACGTTTCCCTTGAGTGCTTTCCACTCGAGGAAGAAGTCTTAAAGCAAAGTGACTCGGAGAGGTTTGTCCAACTGTGTGGTTTCTACTTTTTAAGCAGAAGCTGTCTTTTATGAAAGAAGCTGCACTTTCATTGTATCATGGGAACCAAATTAATTGACTGATAACTTCCAACAAGATCCTCACCACTGAATTGTTTTAAAATTATAGGCCCTAAATCAGGCTGATTTCAGTACTAACTCCAAATTCCTGTTATCAGGTTAGAGTGTCTAAACACTACAGAAGAGGCTGGAGTTGTCCGTAAATTTGGCCTTAATCTGCCTTGAGCAGAAGCACCTCCACGTCCGTTGAAAAGAGCCATGTTGATGCGAAATGTTCATTTGGTTGGTAGTAGCAATGCAACATTAAGGCGTGCATTTCCTAGTCATCTGTGAACCAGGGAACCAAAGGAGCCTCCGTTGCTAGGAAAATTGACCCCTTTCTTGGTCCAGCTGGGAGCTCACAAGGGATTAAAGCCCACCGTCAGTACGTTCATTGGCTAAAAATGAATTGCCTTTGCATGTCTGCAATTTTCCAAGGTTGGCTGCACTTAATAGGCATTTCCATTTTAACATGAAATGCCAAAACATTTCAGAATGGACTGCGCGTGCCCATTCATTTGGAATTGATAAGTTAAGAATATTTTTGTGCTGCTGGAAAGGATCCCTTGTGAATGTCTGAAAACCAAAACTAAAAACTCTTAGAAATAAAATCAATATATCTGACTTTGGGGAATGTGATCATTTGACAAAAACTAACTTCAGATGAACCCTGTGCCGCTTTTTTAAAATTTTCACTGACTTTGTTCTTCCAGACAATTCTGAAAGAAATTGCCTTAAAAAAGCCACATACATAATAGGTATAGGAAACGACCTAATAATGCCAAGCAAAAATACTGTCCAATAATAAATTAGATTTTAAAAAAGTGGATACAATAACAAGCAATTTTAGAAGCTCGAGGAATGTGTTTAATTTCAAGATTTCCAACCCTGCAGTTTGCTGCAGGGTTTATTCTACCCAGTCACACTGGTTACTGTACATCAATTACATTACTAAACATTAAATGATAACATAAATATATGTATATTGCATTAAGTCAGATTATCAGTACATGTATGTATGCCATTCTTGCAACTCAAGCTTTTGGATTTGAACGTGAGTTATATGGTGTGAAATTAATATTTTGACAAGATGACAAAGACCAAAGTCAAAA